ATTTAATTTAAATTTTTTTTGACACCATGATTAAATATTTTGAGCACAACGAAATTGTTTTTCCCATTTCTTTTTATCTTATAAACTACATTATTTTATTTTAAAAGGCATGACTTTCATAAAAAACCTATAAAACTGTTTAAATATTGTGTTATGACTAAGACTTTAAACCACATTTAATTTATACCTGTATGAATAGATTAAGCTTGGCCGAGAAGTCAACATTATTAACATGACCAAATTGTTGAATGCTCCAAATAGGTTTAGCCGGAGAAAGGGAATGTGAGCGTGGGTGGGCGGGGAGTGGAAGTGGGTGGGCGGCCTCAGCTTGAATATGCTAAACAATTTGGGGTTTGCTGCAGCTGCTGCAGCTGTTTGTAAGGACCTCGGGGCAGCCGCAGTCTAAACCACCCACCGCCCCCTTATTACCACAAGTATGACTAATGCGGAGAGTGGTGAGGGGCGAGGGGGTGGGGAGGGGACGCCAAAAGGGCAAGGGGCAAATAATCCTTCACTGAAGCGATTGGCCAATTTGTGTGCATGTGCTTGTGTGCGTTGCCCCATGTTAATGAAGTGCTATGTGGTGGAACACATCCGCTCCTCCCCCTCTGTAGCCCACCAAGATATGTTGCCTACTTTTTGGAGCCGTGTCAATTTACAATTGAAATTGGAATAGACAATGTCAGTGGGAAAAAACCCGGTCTCTTTTTATCTCTCTCTCTCTCTCTCTTGGAACTGCTTGCCTTGAAAACAAAGTGGCACAAAAATGACATTACACAAAAGGGGATTTATTTAGTTTATTTGCAGCATATCAGCAGCCATAACTGTCAAGTGAATGTAGCTCTTATTGTTGTTGTTTCGGTTGTTGTTGTTGTTATTGCTATTGTTGTTGTTATTGCTATTGTTGTTGTAGCTAGAGGACATGACATGGTGGGCGGGTGCATTTCATATGAGGGGTGCAAGATCTAGAGCGACCATCATCATCAATCATTTTGATTTGCGCTAAAAACTATGCTATGCTTTGTTACTACAACAAATATTCAACAACACTACAACAACAGGCACACAAACACACATACAGTGGGAAAAATGCATATATGTATAGGGAACAAAGACGATAAACTACAGTAGCAACAAAAACAAGAAGAAGGGCAATTGCCAGACAGAATGACAACAACATTTCATGTCGACAAGTTGCGCTAGCATTTCACTCTCTCTTTTTTACTGTTACTCCCTTTTCGTTGGCAGTATTTTCTGTTAGTTTTTTTTCTTTTGCATAATAATATGGGGGTTTTCGGTGGAGTGGCACTATGCACATGCATTAGGCGAACATTAATGGAGAACAAGTATTTTTACTGCTCGCTCGTAAAGCTGCTTGTCAAATATATTTTGTGCATATATCGCTCTGTACTTCTTGTTGTCCCTCTTCCTCTTTCGCAGTCATCCTTCAGCAAGGAGAATATATATTTATATATATGAGAGACATAATGAAATTTTAATTAAGCTCAAGCAGCAGGCGAAATTAAAAGACGAAATGTGCGCCTTTTAATTCAATTTATAATTACACTCGGCAGCCGGGCAGGTAGATATCTCTATCGCCATCACTTTCGTACGCCAGTCTACCCATCTCTTTCGTCGCTTATTCGCGTTCGCATTCGCATCGCTGCGAATCAATTAAAAAGACATTTGCGAAAATGTTGCCAAGGCAAATTGAAACTGAAACGACAACACGAATGCTTAAATGAGCGAATAAACGAAGATGCGACTGAGACGGCGTGAATGAGATGGATAGTGCGGGGAGTGAAAGAGACAGGGGTAGAGAGGTGGAGGTGGTTGTAAAGAAGGATGCGAATGAATGCAGAAATGAATGCCACATTGCACGAATGAATGATGATTGTCCCGATGATGATGATGGCGGTACAAGTGTGAATCCGACTGTGCGTCCCAAGACGTTGTTGTCCTCACTCCTTTTAAAGGACCCCCCAGGACCTCCCACTTGGCCAATCGCGGAGCGTCTGCCGTTAATGTAATTCAATAACCTTCATCTGGCCAGTTGGGCATGATGATTGTTGATTGTTTTTCATGCGACGCCAGAGCGCCTCGAAATTCGCAATTATTAATTGGCGTTGCGAAATGTGCGATGCGATAAGAGTGTTGGTAATGGGTAAACAGCTTTTCAAATAAATCTTCATTTTATCATATCGATACTATATTATATAATACGTTATTGTGCTCCAAGTAAGAAAATTACAAATGAATGCGCTAGTCAATATTTGGCAATGCAACTGTTCATGATTGCAAAATATAGATCTTTGCGCATGTTTTTTATAGAGTTATCTAAAGTAGGTTTAATGCTCCTTTAGATGACTTGGTTACAAAAGAAATTGAAGTTTGGATAACAAATGGCTAGAATGGTAATGGAAATATTTCCGTTTTTCTTGGGAGAACTTATTGTTGGACCAAATCCAACAGGGCCAAATATGTTCGGATGACATTTGTCGCCTAGCTGCATCTGCTCCATCCATATGTGCCATTTGTGAACATAATCCCCATGCCACATAAATCAAAAACTCAACGAAAACCTTCAAACGTTCAATATGAGAATGCCTTGGATTGTGGCCCCCAGCTATTTCCCATTTCTCATTTCTCATTTCTCAAAGAGATCCCCACTCCCAGTTGCACTAATCTCATGCCATGCAGCTGTCCCCCCTTTTCGCTTTCGCTGGAAACTTTCTAATAATTTCTATTTGAAAGCCCGGCCAAAGTTGCGCGTGGTGTGCAAAACTGTCATAATTCATAAGTCGCCCGAAAACTCAAACCCAAACCCAAACCCAAACCAGAAACTGAAACTGAAACTGAAGCCAGAGGGAATGGGAATGGGAATGCGAATCAGAATGGGTAGCTGTCTGTGTATAATTACATGGTTCAACTGTCACGGCGGAAAACAAATAAATGAGTTTCGTTCGCCAAAAACTTTGTTCTTTGTGCAACTTCTGTTCCATCGATCCGCAAATATCGGAGTACCAATGCACCACTGGCAATAGCACTACTGCCATCACCATCGAACACCACCAAATCGAACTGTCTGACCCACTCATCAATCAATCGATTGGGCGGCAAGCCATGTAAATTCTAAAGCGAATCAATATAAATGCCACCTGGCTGCTTGGCATTCAAAAATTAATTCAGATTGCAATTCCTTTGAATTATACGCATCAGCAAACTATGATTTCTCATGAAATATTAATGCCAGCATGCGACATTTGATATTTGGCGATGTGCGCTTTTGTTTTTCTTCCCCACCGCCAGCCATCGAATTACACAGAGAGAAAAAATGGACTTCAAAAACGATGCAAGCTAATTGTAATTTATGACCAATTTCTGTTATCAAAAGAGTTTTAATTTAGAACATTAAATGCAGTAATTTTAAACAGTGTTATAAACAATTATAAACTGTTACATGCCATTTTTGAAAAATATAATACCTCTAAGTAAAATATGATGGTTAAATGCCAATATTATTGAAAACATAATAAACCAATCCAGACACAATTTTTCTTGGAAGCATAATAATACATTTTAAAAACAATTAATGATTATTTTTCCGAGCTTTCTGTTAAACATTTATTTTTTATTGAACAACGTATCAGTAAAAGGATAGCTTTTTAATTAACGTGCTTAATAGATTCTGTTCCTATTCAAGGATATTTTTCTGTGTGTTTCAGAGAGCCGTGACCAACTTCGTTATCATTGTCAACATGCCGTTGAGTGCCGAGGTTTGAGTCTCAAGACAAAAACCCAAAACCCATGCCCCACATCTCGAGTCCGGAGTCTCGATTCTCGATGCCCCAATCTCGAGCCCCTCTCCCCGCATAATCAGAGCAATTTCAAAGTTGCGTCTGTCAGAAAGGCACAAAATGTGGCCTTCCATTTTGCACCACCACCTCGTCGGATGGTGGCATTTTTTTGGTGGCTTTTTTGTTGGCACTTCCTTTTTGACACCGGCGTTCCGCTACGTTTCACGGCTGCCATTTCACCTGGCTTCACGTCTCCTGCTCTTTCTCGCCCTCGTCCTTGTCCTCCTCCTCGTCCTCGTCCTTTTCCCCCATCGTGTCTATCAATGCCGGGGCCGATTGTCCTGGCTGCCGCTTGTCAGCCGGAAAATGTGAATTTATCACACGAGCACGTACGCATATTCCCCGCTGTCCTTTTTTTTGCGAGCCATCCGGATGAGTGGGTGTCCGTGTCCGTGTCCGGGGTCCTGTGTCCTGTGTCCTGTGTCCTGGCCCCCAGATTAGTAATTATTCGCATTTAAATATGAGCAGGCGCTTATCTGGACCGGAGCACACGGACTTCCTACCAAAACGGAGAAACGCCGGGGAGCGCCTCTCTACGCGCTTCTCAAAATGTCCAGCTAAGTGGGCGAAAATCTCTAGTACAGCAGCTGAATGTCTTAATTGCATCCTGCTGCTGGCAAATTCACTTCTGCCACAATTAAGAGCCAATTTCTGCGCTCAGCGCCCCAAGGGGGTTTTCTAATCAGCGCGACAGGAGGTTGTCGCGGTTGTCGGCATTTTGGCATCGCATCGCATCGCTCCTTTGTTTCCGCGCGCGACTAAAATGCCAGACACCCGAGCTCAAAAAGGCCAAAAAGGATGCGGATGCTGGCTGCGTTGCTCTTCCTTTGAGCTGCTGCATCGGAAGGATAAAGGTTGCTAAAAAGGGAGAGCTTTATATTCTAGACAACGAAAAAATGTTCGGATATTTATTTACCCTGATTAAACTGCTGTAAATACTATTAACTAAATAGACAATGAAAATAAGTTGGCTATGACATAATCTACTGATATTATTATTAAAACTAACAAATTCGATTCATGATAACAATATTAAATAAGCCGTTACACATTTGCTATGAATTAAATTTGATATGAATTTAATTTATGTTTTTCTTTCTTAAACTATTGACAAAGACATATATTATTTGATCCAAATTTAATTACAATTCTTCTTAAAGTTAGCAAGTCTCGAATATACAATCCATTCGCTGGAAATTTTTCTCTCAGTGTCGTGGCACTTTCGACTTCAGGCAGGAAGCTCCTGTCAGCTAGCTCCTCCAGTGTGGTTTTCTAATGAAATTTTCACCGAAAGGAAAGCGAGTGCCTCTAGCTGGCCCACATGATTTTGGTGGTGATCAGCAGGGGATCTCGTTCCTCGGCCAAGAGATCCGGATTCGGAGCACTCTGGCGGTAGAAATGGGGTGGCAAGGTCACAGATCTGGCGAGTGGAATGGACGGGTGGCCATTTGGGGTCGAAGTTCGGGGTGTTACGTTCCTGCTGGCGATCTGCTGGCATTCCTGAAAGTCAGCATGGGGAGACTCTATTTGAGGCTGATGCCTCCGAACGGGCACCCAAATGTGGCGACGTGTCTGCAGGACATCCTGCCAGTGCATCCGATTGGCCCGGCACAATTGACCTATGCTAGTGTCGTACTTCAGGGCCAATCGGGTCATCGTGTCCTCGGCGGAGATGGGATGTTTCAGCCACTCCTTGCCGCAGATATTCGGAGCACTCATAACACTCGAGAAGGGGGCACAAGAAACGGGGTAAACAACAGATTTTAAACCTATTCCAGTCCCTGTTGTAGTTAGCTTTTTTTTTGAGATTTCTCTGAGGGCTTGGGCAATGCCAACCAGTCTTCATTATTTTCGCATGCTCGGCTGGATATATTCGCACCTCCTTTGATGCCGATCATCTGTGTCAACGAATGTCTGTCTGCGAGCGTCCGATTCGCGGTTTATGCAAATTACTTGGCATACATTTCGCCGCCAGTGCGTATACGTAATCAACTCATGGGCCATCGCTGCGTATACGTAATCAACTCAGGCGGTGCGCCGTGTGTGAGCGCATAATACGACCGGCTGGGCAAAAGGACGAAAGGACGAAAGGGATGGTCTCCTCCGTCCGGGTCAGCCGCAAAGGTGTCGTCATCACCGGGGCTTTTATGCCTTTTTTCCCTGTGTTTTTTTTGGTCCTGCTTAAGCCGCCTGCTTATAATCCCTTCTGCGGCAGCAGTGTTTCACGCAATTCCTGCCGGAATAATGCCAGAGTTCTCGGCGAAAATTGGGAGTAATTTACGGATTAGTCCTGGACTTGGTTAATACGCCCTCTGAATCGCTGTTGAGTGGACCACTGCCGAGTTGTTTACTCTGGGTTTTTGGTGAGTTATAACATTATAACTCGTTAATAGCATCACGAAGTGCAAATAAGAAAATATCCAGCATTGGAAAAATGCTACATTTAAATTAAATAAAATTAATAAGGCTAAAAAGTCTGTTTTCAATACAATAAAAATCCTTTCACTTTCGAAATGACATGAACTAGCAAAGATAAGCTATTTAAAATAAGTTTAAAGTAATAGACTTGTAATGGATACTCATGCAAAATAATATTTTCACCCATATAAAGATCTCCAAGTTGTAAGATGTTCAGAAGCAACCCTCCAAGTAATTTAACCCATAAATTGAGGAAGTATAAAGTCACCCCTAGTTGAACCTGGCCTCACTTGCGCATCCAATTGGATTTGTTTACTTTGCATTAGATGAGGCTCAATTTGATTTTGCCGAGCAGCCCATGCCAGAAGTAACCCCTTGTATTCCACGTTATATCCCCCAGATTCCGGCCATATTCATTCGTTTGCGAACGGCTTCATTTGCCAGCCATAAAATATGCGAAATTGATATGAATGACAAACCCGAGCGGGAAAGGATTCGACTCGGCTTCAAAGTATCGGATTGCTTGCGATTCGGGGTAATCTATTGTGAAGTCGTTTGACTGGATGAATTTAATACGGGTTTAAACGATGATTCGTTTTTTGTTTATCATAATTGCATAGGCAGTTTTTTAGCTTAAGAATAAACTAACAATAAAAGGAGCCATCAATATTAATAGCTTAAGCTTGTTTAAACTATGAATTATAGGTAACTTTGTAATCATTTTTTATTCAAACTTATTCGTTTAAGTTTGTGTGCTTGCTTAGTTTGTGATTGGTTATAATAATTGTAGCCCATAATCCAATTAGTTGGATTTTTATTTGTTAAAGAGGTATATTTAACCCAAAGTAGGCACCAATGTATTTACAAATCACCCTGGAGCATCCACTCAAATGACCCAGACTGAAAAACATCGGCTTTTTAGAGTGGGAAAAGGCAGGAAAGTTCAGAATGGACAAGAGCGCCGTGTCCAAGGATCAGGATGGCAATGCCAAGGCGGCGGGAAAACCGGAAAAGCCGGAAAAGCAGGCGAAGCCGGAGCGCTACTCCTCGGACAGCGAGATCCCCACGTGGCGCAGGACCCGGTTCTTCGTCATCCTAATGCTCTTCTCGGGAATGGCCAATGCCTACGTGATGCGCACGAACATGTCGGTGGCCATTGTGGTGATGGTGAACCACACGGCCATCTCGGATCCGGATTTGGAATCGGGATCCGAAGATCCCCGCAACTCGGAGGCGGAGTCGCAGTCGCAGGACGGCGAGTTCGTGTGGAGCTACAAGCTGCAGGGCTACATCCTGTCCAGCTTCTTCTACGGCTACGTGATCACCCAGATACCCTTCGGCCTGATGATCCGGTACTTCGGTGCACGCCACTTCCTCGGCTGGGGCATGATGGTCAACTCGGTGGCGGCCTTTTTCGTCCCGATCTCGGCGAGATCAGGTGGCGCCCTGGGGCTGTGCGTGGTGCGGTTCATCCAGGGATTGGGCGAGGGTCCCATCGTGCCCTGCTCCCACTCCCTGCTGGCCCAGTGGGTTCCTCCGGATGAGCGCAGCCTGGCCGGGGCCGCCGTCTACGCGGGAGCCCAGTTCGGCACCATTGTATCGATGCCCCTGAGCGGACTGCTGGCCCACTACGGATTCGACGGCGGCTGGCCCTCGATTTTCTACGTCTTCGGCATGGTCAGCACCGTCTGGTGTGTGCTCTTCATCTGGCTGGTGCAGGAGAGTCCGGCGGCCAGCACGAGGATATCGGAGGCGGAGCGGCGGCACATCATGGAGGCCATCTGGCAGGCGCAGCCGGAGGAGTCGGGCCGGGTGCCGGTGATGGGCATCGCCAAGTCGCCGGCCTTCTACGCCATTCTGGTGGCCCATGCGGGGCAGAACTACGGCTACGAGACCCTGATGACCATGCTGCCCACCTACATGTACCGCGTGATGGACGTGGACATCAAGGCCAACGGGGTGATATCCTCGCTGCCCTATTTGGCCATGTGGATAGTGGCCATCGGGTTCGGGATGCTGGCCGACTTTCTGGTGCGGAGGAACTGCTCCATCACGGTCATCCGCAAGCTGATGAACAGCCTGGGGCAGTACGGACCCGCCGTGGCCCTCATCTCGGTGGGCTTCGTCCACCACAGCCTGTGGCTGACCTGCGTGGTTTTCGTCCTGGGGATGGGGCTCAACGGGGCCATCTACTCCGGCTTCAAGATCAACCATCTGGACCTCTCGCCGCGCTTCGCCGGACTACTCATCGCGGTCACCAACTGCGTGGCCAACCTGGTGGGACTCACGGCGCCCATGGTGGCCGGTCATGTGATCGACCACCGGCCGACCATCGAGAACTGGAGGATCGTCTTTTATATCGCCGCTGGGGTGTTCATTTTCACTGCCACCTTTTACAATATTTTTGCAAGCGGCAAGCCGCATTGGTAACATCTAAATTAATACAAAACAAAAAAAAAACATAAACAAAGAAAAAATGGATGAAAAATGAACGGGGGGGAAAAGTCATATATAATAATAGAAAATAACAAGCACACACAATCTGTTGCCACAGACATAGAAACCGAAGCCGAAACCAAAACCGAAACGGCGGCCAGGACATCAATCAAATGGCCGCATGTCCTTTGGCCTGGCCGGGCCATTTAATTTCGCATTTGTGCCATTTATTTTATGGCACATTTCTGGGCCTAATTAGCAGGGATCGGATGGCCACTTGTCCTCGTCATGGTTTTGGCCCAACACTCGCCACATTTGCAGCAGCCGAAAATTGTCAGGCCATCAACAGGGCGTTTCTAAATTAACAATGATTTATTCCAACTTCCCTTTGGCCTTTGTTCAATGCTTATCCATTGCATTCCCTTTGGAAAATTCCTTCAACACAGTTCTCAGTTGTTTTATTTGGAATATAAAACCAAACTAAGTTAATTTAAATGGTGTAAACTATCTTAGAATTTCACAGTTCTAAAAGTTCTTTCCTTTTAACATTCCATTTTTTATGGAAATTTTTTTTAAATAAATATAAGAAACCCAAGAAACCTTTTCGTTCTTTATAAATTGAGCGTCCAAACATAATACGGCTTACATTATGTTAGCAAAAATAATAAAAACTGTAAACATTTTTGAAAAATTAAGTTCGTTGCTTAACCTTTTTAACAATTTCGTCTTAAAAAATACTTTACTTGAAGATTAGCGAAGTGCAAAACACTTAGTTGCCGTTCATCCGGGATTTATGTGCAGCACCTTCGATTCGCGTGGACCTTTAAACTTGGCCAGTTAATCCGTGACTCGTAATCCATTAAGCTTTTCAATTCTGCTCCCTGGTTGAACATGGCGATGATGGCTATGTCTCCATCTCCATCATCCGCTGGCCAAGGGGAAACGGTGGAGAGGGAAGGGGGAAGAGGGCAGAGGAAAGCGTTCCGGCAAGTTTAAGCAGCTTAAGTTTCATTGCAATAATAATTTGCGTGTGGTACTTGGGCTACATAGATATACATATATATACATGCAGACATGTAGATATATGGATATATAGATGCACAGGTGTGCCGCCCACAGGTACTCACCTGTACACCCGCAGACACCTGGCCACAAAATGTTCGCCACTCTTGTAATAACCAGGAGGACAAGGACACCTCAGTGGGTGGTGGGTGCTCCTCCTATCTCCCAGCTCCGTTCTGCTTTCTCCTTTCTCCGTTCACCTTTCACCTTCCTCCCGACGCCCAGCAAAGTTGGCCAGAATGTTAACTTGTCTGCACGTTTCGTTTTGTCGCCAGTGAAGCGACTAGATAGGGACATGTAATTGGGTTTTCACTTGATTCAACATGCGCCAAAATGTCAAAGTGCACCGCAAGTTTCCTCGTCTATTTCCCAGCTGCAGCTATCCTGTTTTTGCCATTCCCGATTTGGATTTGGAACTCGGATTCGGATTCGGATACGGATTCGGTGAAATCCGGCAACACGGCATAAAGCTAAACCCCAGGAATTGTCAACTCGGGGGACTTACGTCACTTGTGTTTATCCGCAGTTCACTTGGCGAAATCCCTGTGGATAAAGTCGTTATAACCCACGGGAAATGGATCTGGCGACGGGTTATTATTATAAATCAAAACTTTCCCTGCTCGAAATTAGAATTTGAAAACTACAAAAATATTGGCTGACTTGCCATAGTTGTTTAATGTTATACAATAAATAGAATAAAGCCAGCTTAATATTTGATGTATGTATATAAGATAAATATAATCACACTTCAATTTACTAAAATATTGGACAATAGATAATAGAAAAACCACGATTTAAAATATACTTTAGTGTTAGAAAGTTTGTTAAGAAGCTTAAATATATAATCTGTTTCAGTACTTGTATTATAAATTGTAATAAAAAAACTTAATCAAATATGTTCTGGTAATAAATAAGCTTACAATTGTTTTATAACATTTGAGAGAATTCAAATTATTAAATTAGGTTATTTAAATATTGTATTCTCGTTGTTGTTTCGATAAGATAGTACAATCCTTTAGTGCCAGAGATGACTGTAGCCGGAAATGCGTTGCACTGTTTTTCAGGTGCAAATCCCCGGCTGCGGATTGAATGTTTCCATTATTTCGCACAAATATTTTTGGCAATGCATATCGGCGAAAACATATCTATATCCCCAGCTGAATGGCGACTCTAATCGGTTTTTGGCATTTGCTTTGCTGGCAGGCATTATTTTGGTTGCAACAATGCGCTAATTAGGCGTCGATTCCCAAATACCGGCGCTAATTCCATGGCCCCCAGCATATTTTGTCGGGAGCGGAGCTTAAAAAAGATTCATTTGCGCTAATTAAATGTCATAATTCCAGCATTTTGTAAGCGGCCTTTGGCATTGTTTGCAGTTCGTTTTGGGTTTTGCCAAAATGTAAATTCGCCTAGCCAAAGTAATGGCTAAGCCCTCGATTGGTCCAATCGTTTTTTCCTTTTTTTTTCATATTTAGTTCACCATATCAGAAACAGAAGGAGAAGCTCCTTTTATGCGCTTGCGATGTTTACGCTTCGATATTGAAAAGTTACGATAATGTGACTGGCTCCTGACTTCGATTCCTGTTCTCCGACTTCGATTTGTGGCTCTCGAGTGCAGCCAGCTCAAGTGGGCTGAGTGGGCGTGGTCGTATCCTGGACTCAGATTCAGATGCTGCTTGTTACTACTGCACAGAGCCGAAAAAGATGGTGATATCAGAGAACAATGTCATCAAGATTATATATCTTTTATAATTTGAACGGGTATTTTCTTCCCAAAAATAACCAGATATGTAGAAAATCTATAAATGTGTGTTTTTGTTTCTTGAGGAATATTTAAGAATATTTATTTACAAAAAGAAATAGAGTTTTTCTCGCAGTCTGCAGTTCTTGAGGGTCTGTGCTTTTGACAAATAAGCAATTTATAAATCATTTTTATTTCCATTCTCTGGAGTACTTCTTACATGTCCAGTTCGCTTATTGATTTTACCATTTTGTTTGTTTTACTTATGTACGGTTTAGTGGAAATATTTGTATTCCTTGTCCAAAAACCCAAAATAGGACATGCAAAATAAAAAAAGAAAACAAAGCACTCAACTCGCGACCCAAATTCTCATCGCATGGGGAATAGAATGTGGTCGATGTATATGTATATTTTTGGGCGGTTTATTTAAATGCCTGATCCAAATTGGATATGGGATAACAATGTGGAGAGGGCAATGGTCAATTGCCCGGCCAATTCATTCATAAAAAATGAACTATTTCTATGCTGAAAAGTAAGTAAATCCGCAGTAAGTCCCTCCAACAATCTCTGAAGCAGATTGTTCAGCTTGGAAACCACAGAATTCGAAGTCTTGGCAACTGATGAATAAATCACCAACACTCTGTTTGGATTAATGCTAAAGCGCGGAATTAAAAGGGATAAAGGGGTCAAAGGTGATACGCGCTGTGATGAAATATATAATAATACGCAAACCGCGAATTCGACATATGTGTGAGTATAATATGAAATAAGTACATAGTTAAGTTACAGTTAAAATTATATTAAATAAGTTAACATCTGGTTTTAGTTTACTTTTAAACTAAGCTCTACATATATACCAGTATGTGCCAAATATAATATTTCTGATGGAAATATACCATTTCAATTAATTTTGTTATATTTTCAACTGCGTTGCAATCATCAGACTAAAATAATAATTCCTTCTGGAAGGGTTACATAAAAAAAAGAAATATGAACGAGTTCAGAAAAATGATATCAAATTGTTGCCATAACAAAATATAATTCATTTTCAATTGGAAATGGATTTACATGGAAAAATAGTGAATATCATATGGCAAAAAAATGACAAATGCTTTGTATTTTTGGAAAAAATTTCAATTTAAAGTCAGCCCACGCTCGACATTTTCTCATTTTCTGGGAAATCTCGTTAGTGAAAATGATAGTCAACCGCAGGCCAACACACACACAGATGCGAATAGGAGTGTGCCAACTCATGTGCGTGAGTGCGTTTGTGGGGAAGGGGGAGGAGGGGGCGGTTATTCGTGGATGTGACGGCTGCCACTGAAATTGCAACAACTGCAGCACCGGAAGTGCACTTATGCCGCGCACTTCTATTTCCGCCGCTGTTTCAGTTTGCAGTTTGCAGTTTGCCGTTTGGCGATAAAGATTGATGGCAGTCGGAGGTCAGAGTTCACCCACAGAAAACCCAATCCCCCAACACCCAAGCCCCACCCCCTAATTGCCCATAATTCGTTTCAATCGATAGATCAACAATTAGAAATTCTTCGAGTCAGCACATGCTAATAAAACATTGCCAGACAATCATTGATTTTTCAGGTTAGTTGTGAAACAGTACCATTAATTCTCATAGACATCTAGAACTTTGATTGATTGCATAATGTATGCGTGTGCTGCTTAATTGAAAGTGTGTCAATTCAAATTAAATAGGTGTGCATTGCTACCGGTTGATTGGCCAATATTGTACCCAAACCGATTGCTATTATGCAAGCAACAGGGGTCCTTAATTTCGAAATGACAGCTATTGAAATTAGCTCGATTTTAGTGACCTGTGGTTCATTGGAGTTAAGTTGAAGTTATTGACGAAATTCGTGTTTTTCATATTCTTCCAAATGAGGGTGATCCAAACCAAGCAATGCTGCACTTAAAAAGCCCTCTTAAGCCATCTTAATTACCTCTACATAGTTTTCAAGTGAATAATGCAGAATAAGCCGCTTAAGATTATAAGATCTTGCATGGGCTGAAGAAAATGGCAACAGTGAAACAAGAGTTGCACTTCCAGAATTGGTTTTGTTCGATTAAGATTCCAGGCGGAGTTTTGCTGAGCCATCCGACTGATGGATTGATAAACCAAGCGATTGACAGTTGGCCATCCAGTGAAGCGAAGTTTGTCATTCAGTTTTCCATCGAATGCCGACACGTTGCC